TATATATATATATATATATATATATATACCTAATTCACATCTCATACTATATAATAAAAATTAATACATACCTACCCAAACCACTATTAAACTTGTCCTAAAGTATTCACATCACGTGACGATGAGGAGTGGTGTGGGGTGCGTTTGCACCATGAAGTGCACGGGACTCATGACGTATACTTTGAGGACAGCGCAGAGAAAGAACGCGTCATATGTTTGGTTGTGGAGGCCATCGCTGCTTGCACAGGTAGGGTTTGGGGTTTTTAACTTTTGAAGTTTGTTTTTTTGTATCTGGGTTGCTAGGCTACGGGCTGCCTATGCTCATATTCATGTATGATTTTGAGATTGTTAGGTGGTGCATATATTGTGCATTCTAGACACGTCTAGTGTACTAAAGACTGCGTCAGTTGCTCGGTTGTGGGGTCCATTGCATCATGCACGAGTACGGTGATTGCTATATATAGATATCCTGGCTGCTAGGCTACCAACTGGCTATGAACATATGTAAGGGTATCACCATTGCAAGGCTACAAACTACTGATGCACATATAGATGAGTGCATTTCCGTTATGACTGGTTCCGTATCTATACTTATAGAGACTTCTGTTTATGCTCACCTACCCAAATCAGACGGACAACCCAATACCACACCGCACCCAGTGTTTTAGGGTTTAGCGTTTAATGCCAAACCACACCTCCTACCTTCTCATGTAACTGCAACAGCCCGGCGGGATAACGTTGCCGCACAAGCCGCTCAAGATATCAAGCGCAGAATGACTGACAAGTATTGTGGTACTGATGTGTCATCCGCACGAGATATACTCAACCAACGCAACCGTAACCGCCAGGAACTACGCAAACAGGAGCTGCAGAGCTACACAGAGAGTACCCGGGTCAAGGCAGATGAACTCAAGAATAGCTTCTCAGTTATGTAAGTGGGAGTGTATGTGTGTATGTGTACATGTGCTTTGTTAGTGTGTGGATGTAGATGTGAATGTGTTGGCATCTAATTTCTACCAACTCAACTACAACTACGTCACCAAAAACTAGC